GTGCTGAAACTGAAAAAGGGCACAACCCCCCCCCCCCATTGACAAATGAAATAACACAAAATAATAGTCTCAATAGTCTCAAATATATATTTATAGGGTTTCTTAGGTCTATAGGTCTACATGTTATACACTATTATAATGACATATGATATGGCTTTTAAAGACTGCTTAATTTCTAAATCTCAAAGGTGGAAGTCAGGACTAATAGACTTGGCCTGGAAAAAGGACATGGTATGATAGTGTTACGTATCCGGTCCATGAACTTCCGTCTGCTAGCCATCAGAGGTCACCCTTTCCATTTTCATTGACTCTCGCACTACACACTGTTGCACATCACCCCGGACTACATATCCCATGCACTGATTGCACACAGCCCTGATTGCACACAGCACTGATTGCACACAGCTGTTTCATATCACTCATTCACTATTTAACATTCAATCTCACTCCGTTCTGGCTGCCGAGTATTGTATGCGCTTATCGCCCCCAGTGATAGCTACTCTACAGAGCCCTCTTTAGCTTCCTAGCCCAGCCTAGTCTTGCCTTGTTTGTTTTCGCGATCTTTGATCTGTGCCTGTTTTCCTGGAGTTATCCCTTTAGTCTCGCTCTTGTGATCCTGTTCGCCAATCGTTGACCTACGCTAGCCCTAGGACTATTCTTGTGTCTTGCCTGCCATATACCTGTTTGCCACCGTTCGACCCTGCCTGTGTTTCTGACCTCCTCTCTGCTTTAATAAAGCTTGCATATGGATCCGCACGTCTCACGTCTTGTCAGCCCCGTTACAGTTATAGTCATCGTCCTTGGTGTTAACGGGCCTTTAGTTCTGGTTCTCTAATTAAATTTTTTGTTATTTATTATTATTTTTCAAAGCAAACATCAAGGTTAGAGTGAGGCAATTACAAATGGTTAAAGTAAATAGGGATAATGTTTAGGGGGTACATGTATGCATTTATAAAAGCACAGAATATTCCTTTGGTTATCAAACAACTGTTCATTGAACTATCCATTTATCAAATTCCTGATGATATTCACCTGGTCATAGTTATCATGTCCATGGAAGAATGGCTCCTTCCTAAAGATCATACTGGCCAGCATACAACCAAGACTCCACATATCAAGACTGTAGTCATACATCTGGAATGACAGAATAAAAGTGATTTGTTTCAGATTTCCAAAAGCTTTTGCGATTTGTTTTGCCAATAAGGTAAAACCTCAAAAGCTAAAGAGTTTTAAAAGGTGTAAAGACTTTTCAAGTGGCTGACTAGACATTTTAATCTAAAATGTTAAAACAACTCAAGCTACATTTGATAAAAATTTATTTTCAGTTGGACATCTGTATATGAATAGCTGTTAGGTCTGGCCTGGTAATCTATCAGTAGTTCTGGTCCTTTAAAGTAGCGAGAGGCGACTCTGATGTTGTACTCCTGTCCTGGGTGATAGAATTCAGCCAGTCCCCAGTCAATGAGACGCAACTGAAACATGACAGCATTCAACAGTCATTTGACATCGGCCTGTTTGTCTATCTGTATACATAATGCTAATGAGAAGTATGCATGCTGCAAACGTCAGTGGCTTAATGAAACTTTAAACCTCCAACCTCCAAGGCTGTCTTATGCCAACATACAAATGTTCCTTTCCTAGAACTATGCAGCATTATTATCCAACATACTTTCATCTCAAAAATCAATGTTGTTGTTTCTTATGTGAATAGACTGATTACCTTTCTGTGCGCATGATCAATCATGATGTTGTGTGGTTTGACATCTCTGTGCATAATACCCATACTGTGACAGAAATCCAAAGCCTAGAGACATACGAAACATGAGATCAAATCAAAACCTCTAAAGCTATCACAGGAATCAAAAGGATCGACAATACAGAACTTCTAATCTGATGTACATATCTAATGCCCTAGACTGAGTTTGAGTTCCTGCATATTTCAAAATGTAAAATGCTAATTATAATATGGGGTAAATGAGTAGTTTTCTCATTTTTACACAAATTGTAATGTTGAATTCAACCTTTAACCAAAACGTTCTTACTAAACTGTAAGAATAAAATGCCAAACAAACATTTAATTATTTATATAATTCATGGGAAATAGACATTTCAAAATTCCTAGAAACCATCATTTGTAAACATAAGCTAGTCTCTGGTGAACATTTATTTTTAAAAGCGTTTTCAATCTCACCTTCAGAATCTCATACATGTAGAAGCGAATGTCATAGTCCGTCAGTGTCTGATACAGTTGCTGAAGAAAACAAAGCAAAGCTGGAACTAATTCCATAACAGGTTTTTGTTTTTGAGGTTATCGGAGATTGAGAATCAGGTTTTTACCTTAAAGTCTGTGTTGTTCACATGTTCAAAAACTAAGGCAGGTGTTCTGGACTGCAATGTGTAAAAAAAAATAAAAAAATTATTCGGATATACAATCCACTTAAGTGCTAAAATCTGTTTTTACAGTATAATTTGATTGTTATTTTTGTATTACAAATATCAGAAACCGCAAGGGTTCTGAATACTGACCACTGGGTCTTTGACGATGTCCAGGAGGGTAATGATATTTGGACCTCCGCGAAGGTTCTCGAGAATCTTTATTTCACGCTTTATCTTCTTCTTCTTCACAGGCTAAAAAAGACAGTTCTTAATGATCCACAAAGTATTAGGTCTGTAACAACTTTTTAAATGCTGCTGCAGTGATTTTTCAAAATAGAAAGGATTACATAAAAAAAAGAAAAAAGAATCAATTAAAATTAAAAGAGTAAATTAATAAGAGTAGATTATTTGTGCATCTGTGTCACCTCTTGGCACCTCTGGCTGTGTTTTTCGTTACACTTCTCGGTGTCATTGTTAATTATACACTTAAGTACTGAGTAATTTTAATGAACAACATGGTTAGAATTAGGGTTTGGCTTAGGGTTACTTGCATGTAATTATGCATAATTAAGTGTTATTATAATAGTAAGTACATGTAACGTGTAACAAGGACACCTTAAAATAAAGTGTTACTATGTTTTTTTTATATTGAGAAGCCATTTGTGTTAACAACAATATATTATTTAAAAGGCACCAACTTGCCACATTAATATTTGACAAATAAGAAAAACATGGGTTCAAATGCCTTAATTTTTATACTTGCATTGCCCATATCTGTTAACTACAGAACCAGGAGGAACTGGCCTTACCTTTAGTATTTTAACCACTACTTTCTCATTGCTTGTAATGTTGATGGCTTCAAACACTTCGCTGTACTTTCCTCTGCCTAACTTGCGGACCAGTTGAAAATCATCTTGATTGCTGGAAAATATACGTTAAAAGTATTTGTCAGCATTTAGGTCATTTTACAGCTTTTACAATCTCAATACTTATGTCACTTTTTTAAAACTCTTCACACAGTTCTCCTTACCGGCTTTCAGCTTAGCACAGCAGTTACAGTAATTTCACATTTAAAGTGCACAAAACTACCAAAAACACTTCATACATGTATCAAATCAACTCATTTTTTCCCCATTACACTAGCAAAGCTTCTCACTTTGTCACTCATAAAACACTGACCTAAAATCACAAACAGGTAGCATTATGTTTTCTGTTGTAAAATGTATTTAAAAACAAGAGTGTCACTGTCTACTGTTTAGAATTCACTGCAGTATTTGTCAGATGGTCCATGCTTGAATTACAGTACAACATTATTCCTAAGTGTTCTCCTTCTGTATATATGTAATTAAAGACTAACACCTGTGTTATGTGTTTAGCTTCATCTAATTGTTTTGATTTTTTAGATTTTCAATATGGTATTTCTCAAATGTAGCAAATTACTGGCTGTCTTATTCAGTTTTATATTATGGTTTGAATTCAAGTTTGACAGTTTTGAAAAGAGCATGTAATTGTGCAAACTGGCCTGTAGGTTCATAGAGTTTTAGTGGCAGCTGTGTCTGAGTGAGAAAAGAATTCATGTCATTTGAAAAATGTAGTCACTGAATGTATTCTGTGCCAAAGCAGTGATAAATGATCCACAGTTTAGCCCATATAGACTACTGTTGTGCTCACTATGTGAGGAGTTTTGAAAAAGTGACTTAAGTATTGAAAAAAATGGGTCCTAGCAATCTCACTGAAAAAGCATGAGATCAGCCAAGCGAAATTCAAAGGAGTCAAAAGAGCTCTTCTAAAAGCATTAAAGGGTTAGTTCACCCAAAAATGAAAATTAGGCTGTGTTTTACTCACCCCCGAGGCATCCTAGGTGCATATGACTTTCTTCTTTCAGACGAATCCAGTCTGAGTTATATTAAAAATTGTCTTTGATCTTTCAAGCTCTATCATTTCACTCAGCGGGTGTTGCATTGCTTCCGTCCAAAAGAAGTGAAATAAAAAACTCCCTTCCATAAAAAAAGTGTCTCACACGGCTCCGGGGGGTGAACAAAGGCCTTCTGTAGCGAATCGATGCGTTTTTGTAAGAAAAATATTCAAAACGTAATAATCACTTGAATCTAGCTTGCGCTCACACTGTTGTAAACGAAGCAGCTCCGGGCGGATGACATATGAGTTCAGCTTTGCGCATGTGCCGCTCAGAAGTGACGAACGCGGAAACACAGCGGGGAGATCAAAACAAAACAACGGTCACTAATTAGAAGTACAAAACGAGGATTTGTAAAGAAGAATGTCGGAGGATTTCGATATAAGCCAAGAGGAGACTGGTTTTCCTTTGCTAAAGTAAGGAAACTTTGCTTCCTTTGCTCCTGTAAACAAACGTTGGTTTTCACGAGACTCACCGGCGCATGCGCAGCGCTGAACTCATGCGTCATCAGCCCGGAACTGCTTCTGTGTACAACAGTGAGCACAAGCTAGATTAAAGTGATTAATACGTTTTGAATATGGATATTTTTCTTACAAAAACGCATCGATTCGCTACAGGAGGCCTTTGTTCACCCTCCGGAGCCGTGTGAGGCACTTTTTATTATGGATGGATGCACATGGACCGATGAACTGCAACACCCACTGACTGCCATTAAACAGCTTGGAAGATCAAAGACAATTTTTATATAACTCTGATTGGATTCATCCGAAAGAAGGAAGTCATATACGCCTAGGATGGCTGGGTGAACTAACCCTTTAACTGCAAATGGCTACAGAAGGGCAACCACATCAGTGAAAAGAGCACAATGAGAACTGCAGAAGCATTTCATCAATGAACTGAAGAGGAAAAACAAAACAAGTGCGCAGGGCCCCTGATAATCGGTGACATTCCTGGAGCTTTTCCTCAAGGGCGAAAAAAAAGGTAACACAAACACAACATAAAGGTAACAAAACTATGCAAATTGATTGTGTTTGCCACTTTAAAGGCGTTACTACTTGAGCAAAATGTACAGTAAATGTAAAGAAAAAAGATATACATATACTGTATATAACATAATAATAAAATAGATATATTTAGTTATACATACCCCCACTCAATAACATGCGATTCATAATCCCAGTATTCTCTGGGCCGTTGTGTGTTGACCTCAGTGTAGACTCTGGCGCGACTCACCACAGGTCCTGACATGACACACAGTTCAGCTCTGTGTTTACTGTACTGCGTATTAAAAATCGGATGAGAACAGTTTTGCAGAAAGAGCTGGCTACAGGGGCCATAGAAGATGGAAGCGCCTCCGGATGGCTGTGGGGAAAAGTAAATAAAATGAAAAATCGGAGACTTTGTCAAGAGGACTACACACACATGCAGGCTATATTTGTATGTGTGTGTGGTGAATAACTTTTGCACCAACTTTGTGACATCTGCAGCGAAGCTTTGCATTCATTAGGTTGTGTCTGAGCTAAAAACTTGAAACCTGACGTAAAGTTAAACATCTAGTTTTACATTGTGCAGTTGAGTCCTCTGCACAATGTGACTTTGCTGCAGCCTGGAATTGAACTGCTGGTTTCGTCTGGTCAGAGGAGAACTGGCCCCCCGACTGAGCCTGGTTTCTCCATTCTTGTCACCGATGGAGTTTTGGTTCATGTCGCCTCTGGCTTGCTTAGTTGGGGACACTTCATTTCCAGCGATATCGTTGACTTGATTGCACAGATACTATTTAAACTGAACTGAGCTGAATTCAATGATGAACTGACTTTAACTGAAAATTGAGTGTTTACTATTGTCACTTTGCATTATTGACACAATATTTTCCTAATTAATGCTGGACAGTTGCTTTGACACAATATGTATTGTTAAAAGTGCTATATAAATAAAGGTGACTTGACTTATTCTTTAATTATCTTTACACCCTCATTCTTCTGGGGAACACCAAAGAAAAAAATTTTAAGAATTTTTGGTTACCACTGACTTCCATTATATGAACAAAATCCACTGAGACATTTTTACACATGTACTTTTTGTTTGTTCCACAAAGAAAGAAAGTCAAACATGTTTGGAATGACATGAGGATGAATGAAGGATGACAAACTGTTCATGTTTTTTTGGGTGAACGCTCTCTACTGTATTTGCTTCAGTATAATGAAGATCCTAAATAAAAACTACAGTACAATAGTGTTTTTTAAGAACATGTCAATCCCTAATTTAAAAAAAAGTCTGCAGTGAAATTTGCATTTTCTCAAGAAAATACCAGTACTTGAAAAAGCAAAAGAAAAACTTTTTTTTTCTCAGAAAAGGAAGAGGAAAAATGTAGGACATCATCAGCTTTCCAGGCTATTATGGCACCGAGTGTTCGCTGAACATTCTAACAATGTAAGTTTAAGTCAGGGATAGTTGTTTTGATTTTACATTTTACATTCATTTGACATCTATTTAACATTTAAAAGTGTCAGATACAATTACAGTAGGGGTACACAAAAACCAAAGTTGCATTCATATTATTTATGCTGCATAACTGCAGTATAATAGATCAAAAGCTCTATTCATCCGTTTCGTTTACATGACTTCCACTCATGCAACATATTTGCAGCTATAGACAGAAAATAATGAAATTATTTTAATTGAATTAGCCTATATTAATTATAATTCAATTCTGCAAGTGATTAGATGTTAAACCTGCTTGGAAGTCATTTTTCTAAGTAAGAGATACACCATCTATTGGTTAAAAGATAGGATGCCCGCTATTCAGCACACAGCACCTGCTGCTAACTACTACAGAATTTACTATCATCAGCTACTCAGTGATCATATCATGTGTTACAGAACAGCAGTGATGCAACCCACACTTCTGAAGATCTCCATCACACCTAACCCACACTCCTGAAAGCACAGTGTAATAAATGGGATGAGCTTTCTCCACACAACCCACGAGCAGTACCGGCTTCCTCATCTCAACACCAGTCTTCTTTACTACAGCTTTACACAAGTGGCCCTGCATGCAGAGACGCATTTACCTTTTCGATGACAGCCGTTGTGACGCGCTAATATTCAGCCCGTCGTGGAGATATTTATCCTTATTTCAGTGGGATATTGAGTCATTTCTGTCTCAGACTCAACATGGCTGTTTGAGAACGGCTTTGAGAGCGCACGCGCCAAACATCAGATAGGCATGCATATGCTGACTAACATTTTTTTTCTTCAAACAAGCACAAATGGTTCGATTCCAGGGGATACAGCATGTATATGCTGAATGCAATGTAAATCTCTTTAGATAAACGTATCTAGCAAATTCATAAATGATTTAAGTGATTAATTTCTTATAGACATGGCAGAAACGTCATTGCATTTGTATGTCAAAGCCATATTGCACCAAAGATCAATACGTTTCTTGGCACATTTTGACACATATATATATATATATATATATATATATACATATACACAAACTGTACATATATATATATATATATATATGAGAAGAAATGTGGCTCAATAAACCAGAATTCATTTATGTGTGTGTGTGCCTGCAACTTTTTTAGCCTCGAGTTTTCACAATTTTAATTCTGTGCACGTGGTCACCTATTTAGTGCATCAAGTGATCCAATGAATGTCACCCAAAAATGAAAATTTGCTGAAAATGTTCTCATCAAAGATGTAGATGAGTTAGTTTCTTCATCAGATTTGGAGAAATGTAGCATTACAGCGCTTGCTCACCGAAGAATCCGCTTCAGTGAATGGGTGCCGTCAGAATGAGAGTCCAAACAGCTGATAAAAACATCACAATAATCCACAGTAACACTTCCTCCACTGATCCAGATGAGATTACTTTTTTTTTTGCTGGAGAAAACAATATTATGGATAGAGGACTCATATTAAGTCAGAAGAAAAGTTCAAAATGTCTCGATGCATTCGTTTCTTACAAACGTGCAACTTTTCTCTTCACAAGTCATTAATTGATGGACTGGAGTTTGTGTGGATTTCTGTGGTTTTTATCATCCAGACCATCAGTCTGACGGCACCCATTCACTGCAGAGTGAGTGAGCTCAATTTCTCCAAATCTGTTCCGATGAAGAAACAAACTTTTGTTTGAACTCTTTCAACATTGAGTAAAATCTGAAAACTGAGTTCACTTGTGATTATTTTTGTAAGGTGTTGTAGACAGTTGTGGTTGTAAGTTTATACACCCCTTGCGGAACCTGCCAAATGTTTCTAATAGTTTCTGATACAAATTAAATTATTTCATACCATCACAAATAAGCTATTTCACAACAGATATCGAGTCCACAAGACAAAATAATAACAGATTTGAAACAATGAAGTAGTTAAAAAGTGGACATACCTTTGATACCGTTGTTAGCTGAATGATCAGTGCTTGTATGTTTTGTGATTGTTCTCGAGACCCCTGATTACCCGGAGCAGTTATACTGGCCATTGTTCTTCAGGAACGTCCTCCTGGTCCCATTTTCATTGTTTCTCCAGCATCTTCTGCATATTTGTTACCTTTCAAACAATGACTATAAATAACTGAAATCAGGTCTTTCACACAGTTGTGAGACTCGATTCAGTTATTTATCCTTGTGTACAATATTCAAACATCTGTTATGTGAAATAGCTTATTTAAGGCAGTACACCCTCCCCCCCTTCTTTTTTAATTATTAAGACTTGCTGTTCCTGCAAGGGTTATGACAACTTACTGCCCACAACTGTTCACTGAAGTGGGAGCAACATGCAGCAAGTTTGTCAGTTTTTGTTACAGATTGTCCAGCACAGCATAACTGACCAGTAATCACCTTGTTGATTTTATAAAACCTAAAGAGCAACAAATTTTAATTAACAATTTATCTAATTTGTCTAGAATGTATTGACCACAAAATTAATAAGTGTCCATGGTGTCAAAGCTCTCAACAGCTCAATGGAAAATATAACGCTAAAACTGTGTGTAATCTGCAGCCCTAGCACCAAAAAAAATAAAGAAGAAAAAAAAGAATAATAATAAAATAATGAGCCATCAACCTTCAAACAGCTGTCTTATTGTTTTCTCTGAATATTAAGATGGGATAGAATACATCATAAAATACAAATCGCACACTTCATCTTTGCTGTTGTAAACATTTTCTATTATTGAGCTTATGGTATCATTTATTTATAATTTTTAACTAACTGAAGTGACCTAAAGCTGAGAGAGCCTGAAGAAAGTAATGAGACACCATTCAAGACGCAACCCATAGATTAAACAGTCAAGACTGTTGACTCAAAGGCTAGAAAAAGATGGGAAAAAAGATAAAATCTTAATATTCCCACCACACAGCATGTTACATGATGGCACAAATTCATTTGCACTTGCAGAACTATTCTCAAATGAGGGCACACAAATTACACTCAATAAGATCATTTGTTATTTTTACAATTTGCATGTATAACAAATAAACGTTTAAAAAAAGATTAGAATGATGTACAGTATTCTGCTGTGCACACCACTACATCCATCGGTTCTGTCCAATGGGAGCTCCTGAAGCAGGACTGCTCATTGGCTGCTGCAGCACATGGGGAGTGGTCAGGAATAGAGAGGGATTCTCATGAGTCCAGAGAGGAGGAGGAGAGAAGAGGAGGAGGAGGAGGAGAAGGAATGCTCAGCCTTGCGTGTGTGAATGTTTTCTGGATGAAGGTAGAGAGGATGACGGAGAAGCTCTGGGCTCAGTTGCTGTAGATCTGTCCTTCGGGAGGCTGCGGCAGCTTCATGTTCTCTTTGCACATCATGAGTCGTCGCAGCTCCTGCAGAACCACACGGATGCTGTACGAATTCTGCCACTTGGCCAGTGAGGATACAGCTCGCATGTCAACCTGCGTCAACCGAAGACATGCAGACAACACAGTAAACAGTGTAATAATAACAACAACAAAAAAGACAGAGAATTCGGTTGGATTTGGAGGTTTTCAAAAGAGTCCTACAGAACTGACCTATACGTCCATTCAATTTGAGAATCCCTGAATGCTGAATCCCTGACAATTTTCAAGTGACAGCTGAAAACTAATCTCTTTCGACGCTACTTGGGAAAAACTTTATTTATTCCTTCCCTTTCTAGCTTGTACTTATTTGAACAATACCTAAAACTTGATATTACGAGCACTTCCTGTGTCTGTTTGCCTCTTTAAGAAGAATCGCTTTATGTATTCCCCAATTGTAAGTCTTTTCAAGCGACAGCTGAAAACTAATCTCTTTCGACGCTACTTGGAAAAAAAAAAAAACTTTGTCTTTCTCTTTATTTATTCCTTCCCTTTCTAGCTTGTACTTATTTGAACAATACCTAAAACTTGATATTACGAGCACTTCCTGTGTCTGTTTGCCTCTTTAAGAAGAATCGCTTTATGTATTCCCCAATTGTAAGTCGCTTTGGATAAAAGCATCTGCAAAATGACTAAATGTGAGAAAATAAAAATGGTACACAGCAAAGCTGGAATACACAAAGGTCAAAGGTTACGTACAAACACAGCAGAGTACATTCACAACATAACAGCAGTAAATTATCATCAATCGATTAGACTTCCTTATTGACTACTTCGTTTAATCAAACCATTAAAGGGATAGTTCAGCCAAAAATGAAAATTCTGTCATTAATTACTCACCCTCATGCTGTTCCACACCCCTAAGACCTTCGTTCATCTTCAGAACACAAATTAAGATGTTTTTGATCAAATCCGATGATTCAGAGAGGCCTCCATTGACAGCAATGCCACCCAAACTCAAGATCTATAAAGGTACTAAAGACGTCATTAAAAAAGTCGACGTGACTACAGTGGTTCTACATTAATTTTATGAGGCGACGAGAATACCTTTTGTGCGCAAAAACAAAACAAAAATAATAACTTTATTCAGCAATCTCTTCTCTTCCCTGTTATTATCCTTACGTGGTTAACGCAGTAAGCACAGTGAAGGTTTCCGTGCTCCACGTCCGAACGCCGGCTCATTATTGGCCAAAGCCGCACTCATGCGTGTGATGCTGATGCAAGAGCCATCCAATAATGAGCCAGCATTCTGACGTAGAACCTGGAAGCGCTGGACGTAAACAACGTATGAGAATGACACAGAAGAGAAGAGGTAGTTGAATAAAGTCGTTATTTTTGTTTTGTTTTTGCGCACAAAAGGTATTCCCGTCGCTTCATAAAATTGTTGTAGAACCACTGTAGTCACGCCGACTGTTTTAACGACGTTTTTAGTACCTTTATGGATCTTGAGAGTTTGGGTGGCGTTGCCGTCAATGGAGGCCATCGGATTTGATCAAAAATATCTTAATTTGTGTTCTGAAGATGAACAAAGGTCTTAGGGGTGTGGAACAGCATGAGGGTGAGTAATTAAAAGGCCTTCTAGAAATGACATCTTTGTGCTTGAAACAAGTCTCTCACATTAGTAATAAGTACATTAAGCAAAAGTTAATATTGGTTGTCCTCTATAGTTGCTGCAGTGATATGCGATCAGACGTTTCACATCATATCTATCAATATATCGTGCATTTTATAACTTTAATGGCTGTATCTAATACCAGAACCATAAATCAAATCACCTCACTTTAGGGATGCACGATATTGGATTTTTGCCGATGCTAGGGTGGATATGCTAGGGCTGTTAAAAATCTCGATTTTTCCAGAATGTTTGCTCCATTCTCGATTTTTTAAGATTTTTAACTAGTCAACTTGAAAATGTAACTACAACATGATTCAAGTTACCTTTTCTTTATTAACCCTCTAGTTAAAGAAAATTCTATTTCAAGTGCAGCACACATGAAGTTGTCAACATGGTTAAAAAATGTAAAAAAAAAAATAAAAATAAATAAAAATAAAAAAATCACAGAAAAGATGCAAAAACTACAACTACATATTGTACAAACTTGTCTTATACATATTATGTGTTCAGAAATAATACGAGGAAAATTTCAAGGAAAATCTCAAGGTAATTCAAATTCAAAATGACTGAAGGTATAACACCAGTAGACTTCTATTAACGATTGTGCTGCTTTTCCATAGTTTTTTCTGTGTAAACATGGATGTGTTTGACTGTTGCGCTCGCGTCTCTTGCAGTGTCTCACGCATGAAACGCCATTCTAAAAACACGGCGTTCAAGTTAAAAGTTCACTCCTATCTTCTTGCATGTTTTACCTATTCCACTGCCCGCGCCACATCTTTGTCAAAATGAAAGCGCATTCTGTGTGAATGACGCCTAGTGCTAAATGTACGGTCCTTCACAGAGCGCGTCACACGCGAGCGGTTAATCGCTCGCGCCGAAATTCTTTTCCCTTTACCGTTATCCCCGTCATATTGTCAAAGTGTCTAATTCTAACATTTGGTAATATTTCTATTCAAAATCGCGATTCCTCGATTTCTAAAAAATAAAATCGTAGCAAAACAATAAATTCAAATTAATCTATAAAATCGGGAACACCGATATGCCGATATTTTTCAACTCATTTTGGCCGATGCCGATATATTTCCTTTTGTTCGGAAACACCAAGTCTCTCCTGTGTGGAAATTATAAGCAAATTATTTTTTACTTTTGGTTAGTTTTTAACAAGAACTTATTTGTTAGAATTAAATAAACAATAATGAAGTTCTTTTATAATGACAGTACATTGAAGCTTTGAAAATAACTATAAATAAACTATATATCAATTACTGCATTGCTTTTCAGAAAGATGCAGTGGTAACCTTAGCATTTTATTTTAAGATTTAATATTTGTAGATGGTCTAAAGCAAAAGAGCTGTAAAAATTCATAAAGTCTTTTAGAGCTCATAATTGGTTTAAAAAATATAACCTATTACACATTAATGAATAAATCAATATATATAAAATTTAATTTACAAGTGTCATGTTTGTGATTTTTTAAAAATTTATGTAAGCTATAGCTTCTGACCTTTAAATCAAACCATACTCATGATATTATGACATCAATTACTGCTTTATTTAATCAGAAACAGTCTAAATGTTATGTGTATTTTACTTAAATTTTATTACAAGTAGGCCAACAGCGCCCCCTACGGAATTATAACTTACAGAGCAGGCATTAGGACCTGGGGGAAGCTGCTGCTGCAGTGCTACAGTGCTATTCTCTATCACACACCGAACAGTCATTCTGTACATGCATTCTCAGTTTACATGCAGCGATCCAAAACCATGAAACCATGAATCATTCAGGCAAAACTTTGCTTCAAGATTGAGCGCCACTGCTGACCTGATCTAATCGCTAGCACACCCTGAGCACATGTGAGTTAATGTATTCCTCCTATCGGCAAGACATATCGGCATAATTTTTCATATCGGGCCGATGCCGATATGTACATTTAAAGCCATTATTGGCTGATTCCGATATCGGTCCGATAATATCGTGCATCCCTACCTCACTTTAAAAAGAAAGATTTATTACCAGCATACATAAATGACCTGGCTACTTGGTTCACCAAATTGTGACAAGGTAGCAAATTGGAAAGTGAATCTTCAATACAATATTTAGAGAATTTACTTAAAAACTACCAAATGTTACTTCACATCTCAGGGCTGCGTTTCCCAGAAGTACTGTAAGCTGACTGCAGAGCTTTAGCTCAAACCTTAAAACACACTTGCCTGTAATTAAAGGGGTCATATGATGCGACTTCAATTTTTCCTTTCTCTTTGAAGTGTTACAAGCTCTTGGTGCATAAAGAAGATCTGTAAAGCTGCAAAGACTAAGGTCTCAAATCCAAAGAGATATTCTTTATAAAAGTTAAGAGTCCGCGAGCGGTTAATCGCTCGCGCCGAAATTCTTTTCCCTTTACCGTTATCCCCGTCATATTGTCAAAGTGTCTAATTCTAACATTTGGTAATATTTCTATTCAAAATCGCGATTCCTCGATTTCTAAAAAATAAAATCGTAGCAAAACAATAAATTCAAATTAATCTATAAAATCGGGAACACCGATATGCCGATATTTTTCAACTCATTTTGGCCGATGCCGATATATTTCCTTTTGTTCGGAAACACCAAGTCTCTCCTGTGTGGAAATTATAAGCAAATTATTTTTTACTTTTGGTTAGTTTTTAACAAGAACTTATTTGTTAGAATTAAATAAACAATAATGAAGTTCTTTTATAATGACAGTACATTGAAGCTTTGAAAATAACTATAAATAAACTATATATCAATTACTGCATTGCTTTTCAGAAAGATGCAGTGGTAACCTTAGCATTTTATTTTAAGATTTAATATTTGTAGATGGTCTAAAGCAAAAGAGCTGTAAAAATTCATAAAGTCTTTTAGAGCTCATAATTGGTTTAAAAAATATAACCTATTACACATTAATGAATAAATCAATATATATAAAATTTAATTTACAAGTGTCATGTTTGTGATTTTTTAAAAATTTATGTAAGCTATAGCTTCTGACCTTTAAATCAAACCATACTCATGATATTATGACATCAATTACTGCTTTATTTAATCAGAAACAGTCTAAATGTTATGTGTATTTTACTTAAATTTTATTACAAGTAGGCCAACAGCGCCCCCTACGGAATTATAACTTACAGAGCAGGCATTAGGACCTGGGGGAAGCTGCTGCTGCAGTGCTATTACTGTTTACTCTATCACACACCGAACAGTCATTCTGTACATGCATTCTCAGTTTACATGCAGCGATCCAAAACCATGAATCTAATCATCATTCAGGCAAAACTTTGCTTCAAGATTGAGCGCCACTGCTGACCTGATCTAATCGCTAGCACACCCTGAGCACATGTGAGTTAATGTATTCCTCCTATCGGCAAGACATATCGGCATAATTTTTCATATCGGGCCGATGCCGATATGTACATTTAAAGCCATTATTGGCTGATTCCGATATCGGTCCGATAATATCGTGCATCCCTACCTCACTTTAAAAAGAAAGATTTATTACCAGCATACATAAATGACCTGGCTACTTGGTTCACCAAATTGTGACAAGGTAGCAAATTGGAAAGTGAATCTTCAATACAATATTTAGAGAATTTACTTAAAAACTACCAAATGTTACTTCACATCTCAGGGCTGCGTTTCCCAGAAGTACTGTAAGCTGACTGCAGAGCTTTAGCTCAAACCTTAAAACACACTTGCCTGTAATTAAAGGGGTCATATGATGCGACTTCAATTTTTCCTTTCTCTTTGAAGTGTTACAAGCTCTTGGTGCATAAAGAAGATCTGTAAAGCTGCAAAGACTAAGGTCTCAAATCCAAAGAGATATTCTTTATAAAAGTTAAGAGTCAACCACGCCTACCTAAAACGGCTCGTTCTAACACGCCCCCACGTCTACATCCCGATGTGGGAAGATTTGCATAACCCCGCCCAAATGTTCACGCAAAGAAAGAAGGAGTAACTTTGATTCTTGCTGTAGTATTGTTGCTGCCTCCATGCCGTGAAGGCGCTGTGTGCTTCGTTGTGAAAGTGAAACTACTTTGTTTGGCCTTCCAAAAGAGGACACAACTAGAAATCAGTGGTTAAGTTGTATTTACAACACTGTTCCAGAACACTTCAACCCAAATATTCAGATGTGTGCAGCGCATTTTATGGAGGACGAGGACTGTTAATGCTGACTCTCAGCCAGTAAGTATGCTTTCATATTTAAAGGATTTGTCACTGACTCAAACGCGAGTTCAGTGTAGAGTAGCGCTTGTTTGTCGTTTCTCTGATCACAAATGCAGACATGCTTTTATGTTTACGCAGCGCGATACGCAATGCAACGCATAAAAAGACAGTACAAGTCATTATAATCAGTAATTATGTCCCCACTGGATGCAACAAATGCCTCGTTTATAATGGGTTTTACTGATTTTGTCTCGTTGTACCGGGAGGACAAGGCATCACAGTATGGTAGCATAAACACATTGCATTACACCAAATACACAAAATAATGTTCTTTTTAGCAATGTCATATGATCCCTTTAAGACCTTGATAAGATTGGTTAGTTGAGTTTGATTAGGGTTGGAGCTAATCAGTGGCCTTCCAGACCAGAGTTGAACTGCCTGGGCCAGAGGTCTGCATTCCTGACATAGCTAAATGTGGCTCCAGACAAGTTTTAATTGCTGAATGCGGGTGGGAAGATACTGGTGTTTGCACAGGAAGAGGTTAGACATTCTCAATGTATGTGACAGCACAGGGAAAACACTAGTGATGGGAAGTTCGGATCATTTTACCGACTCGGACCTTTGAGTCTCATTCAGCAAAATGAACAAATCTTTTTTCGAGTCATTTCGTTCATTTTAGCAAAATATAATTAAAATGTTACGTGTCACTTCCCTAATACATCTACAACTTATGCAAACGTTGATCACACTACAAACATTACAATACTGCTATAAGAAACAGAAAAGATTAATTCATTGTTTACCTGGGTCTTCAGTCTATGATTAGCTCAACTCACCTCTTATCTGACAAGTCTTCGGGTTTGAGCTTATGGGGCTGTCACGTGATGAACGAACGACTCAGAAAACCCCGAAGACTCGAGAGATGAACTAATCATTCAAAATGAACGAATCGTTCAAGAACGACCCAACACTAGAAAACACTCCTTTTGCCTGCTGTCTCAAATGCAACAAGATGAGATCAGACGACTTGTGTGAAAAAGCAGGCTATGGCACCAGAGTGAGACGTGAATGGGAAGAAACACTCACACTTAGCAGGAACGCGACTGAAAACTTGTATAAATGTGATGTGTATATTTGAATTACTGCAGTATGAAATGTAATCTGAAACAAGTGCAATGTTAAAATGTAATATGATAAAAGACTGGTCCCTGCAAAATAACCTTTATCTGGTCTACTGCATTCCTAGTTGAGTCGAGTAATTGGTGGTATATTCTTCCAACTCAACAGGAAAATTAAACTAACAACATTTTATAAAGTTTATCTGCAAAATGGAACTGACAACATTTTATAAAGTTTCTCTGGCATTACTTAGTTGTGAAAAGGTGGGAAAAAAAAACTAAACAAAACTCTTCATTCATATTAAACAGAAATATTTGGGTTGTCTTTTCAGGTTGTGAACATTTCAGGCAATTTCAGTTCATTAGCAATTCAGAATTCATTCCATCAAAGTGTAGACAGACAATGTGGTAAACAAAGGAATTGTGAAGGTCCTAATGAGACATAAAATGCATATGATAAAAGCAGCAGATGAGGAAGAACTTGAATAGTCAGTACTCAGTTGAACTTACCACACCATTTGAGTTATGCACTCCATTCAAGTTGATCTTTGTCACAAAACGAACAAAAGGAGGCGTTTCTGGATATCTTGGTCCACATTCTACTCTTAGGCTGTACATCCTGTTCTCATAGATGGTCTTCATGAAAAAAAATAACAAAAAAAAACATTATAAAAAGTACAATTCTTAAACAATACCACAACTGACCTGTTCAAACCAAGACTGATAACTATACCAACGACTATAACAGCATCCACACCAATGCATGATATTGTTCTGTTGCTACAGTTTTGTCATTTGACGCTTTAAAGCTTCTTTAAAGCAGGATGGATTGCCTGTCAATGTTTTTAATGTCCATCAGCTTGGAAAAATCGTTCTGCTAGTGATTCCAACAACATTGGATCCTGCTATTCTTTTAAAATTAATGTTGAACAATGTAGATGCCAGGTTTGGCCATGTAACATTTACAGCTCATAATAACAACAACAACTGTTAAACATATGCCCTGATTAGTCTACATGAATATACAACTGCCAAGGAATTTGAAACCCTGCAGATTAAGTGCATTAATTCCACCAGAATTATAATGCCCCTAAAAAAAAAAAAAAAACATGTTCTAGAGTGGTTCATGAACACTAGAAGGAAACACATATTTGGGCTTTAATAAGCGGTTCAAATGTAGATTTCTACACAATTCCTCAAAGAACTCGAGCTTTTATTTAAATTGATAAGTGCTGGATGCATCGTAAGGAATTTCATGATTCCAGTCCCATAACGATTCTATGAACAATTTAAATTAGTTAAATGAAAGAAGAAAAAAAAAAGTTCTCTCTATGTAGTCCACGCCCCTATCTACACTTTCTAAAAAGTAATTATACAGTAATATATAATATAGGGTGAAAAATACTCTCGGATTATGTAATCCGTATAAGAGGTGAATTTCTTTCGCGTCACTGTACTGCGGAGACTAACTTCATCTTTGCAGTGGACACTGACTCAGAAACCACTAGTCTATTAATAAATAAATAAAATATCTCCTTGCTATTTTTCTCAACAACTCGTTACGTCTGCTGGTGCTTTGTGGCAAGCTTTATGTGTGCGCTTGAGTGTGGAACAGGCTATATATTAAAACCTCATTATGGTTTAGTTGCCTACCCCCCCAGTAAATATTTAATCAATTAAATTAATATAAACATGTGATTAGTCGACTACTTGTTGACTAGAAAAAATTGGGTAGGATTAGGGATGTAGAATATGCTCATGCAGAATATGTGCTTTATAAGCACTAATAATAAGCCCATGTTAATAACAGGCACGCTAATAAGTACCTAGTTAATAGAGAAAGTTGGTCCCTATCCTAAAGTGTTACCAAATATGGTTCAGTGATAAACATGCAAAGATGTAAGCCAATCACAGCAGCAAGGATATAAATTAAAGTCTTAAAGGAGGCACACACACTTTTAAACAGTGTTCAAACAGAGAAATGGCTAATTATTTCTAAATGATAAATTAATTACATTTATATAGTGCTTTTCTAGGCACTCAAAGTGCTCTACATTGTGAGGGGGATCTCCTCATCCAGCACCAGTGTGCAGCATCCACCTGGATGATGCGACGGCAGCCATAGTGCGCCAGAACACACACCAGCTTACTGGTGGAGAGGAGACAGAGTGATGAAGCCAATCAGCAGATGTGGGGATTGTTAGGAGGCCATGATGGTCAGAGGCCAATGGGCAAATTTGGCCAGGATGCCGAGGTCACACCTCTACTCTTTTCGAAAGATGTTCTAATATAGCCCTACAGGATACAATTAAATTCATGTGATATTGATTTTATAAAACAGTTCAGTAAACAGTTGTAATCGTGCTAACTTAGTGCAATAGCATATTTTCTCAGTGATAGATACTATTTACACTAAGTGCAAATAGCTATAGATTCTATTTACACCATGTTAAAACAGCAAGATTTTCTTCTATTTATACTTATTGCAAATAGTAGCAATTATCTGCACCTCAGTATTGTAGGACATTATAAAACAGTACGCAATAATCATGTATTGAGTGTAAATTATAATTTAAATTTAAATTATTAAATAGATGCCACCTTATTGGGACAATAAAGACCTCCCTACACCTACCCTAACCCTACCCGATACTTTATTTTCAACTTTTTGATTATTTCCTTCATTTTTATTGAAAATAAATGCCTTTCCGATGTGATATGAGATCGCATTGCAAAGGGAGAAAAATAGTTCGGCAAAAGGTGGGTTCGAACTCGGGTCGATCGCATCAAAAAGTACGCGCCTTACCATCTACGCCACTAAAACTGATATTTAATGAGCAACTTTTTTCAGTGTTGACTATTCCAATCAGACGTTGGTGGGCGGAGTTAGTGTAAATAGCCTCTGCCAACAAGGCGGGCTATTTGCACTTAGTGTAAATAGACACTCCGATATTGTTATTGGGATTTGGTTCTTTTCAGAAACATGCAGAGTGTTTCTAACGGAATAAACAGACTTTCCGAGTAGGAACATGTGGGAAAAAAATTATAGTTTTACTCATGCACAAGAATATGTATCTTAACATATTAATTCAATAGAGCCAAGTAGGCCAGTTGAACTGACCCTAGGGGGTCCGATGATCATTCCTCTCCAGCGTGTGAGGGTCATGTCTTCATCGTCTTCCAAACCCCAGCTCACGGTGCCATCTCCAACACCCTTTTGACCCTCCTCAAGCTCCTCCAGCAGCCGGAAGTTACGGGGGACTTTCACGCCTGTGAAAACAAACATTTGCTGCTGGAATAATGCTCAAAATCGACACCACAGAGTGGGGAAACAGTTCTCTAGCAGGAGAAAGGGGGAGAAAGACAACTGTGAAAAATGCTTTGATTTCAAGCACTAGGCCTAAATATTTAAAAACTGGACGAAAAGACAAAAGGTACAAGACTTGTAAATGACTATCAAATAAAAAACAATGCATATTTATAAAACTGTTGATTTAAAGATGTTGATTAGGGATGGGCGATATGGGCTTAAAAATGTATCATGATAATTTCTGATATTTATTGCGATAACGATATCAATGACGATAATTTAGGGAATCCTGTTTCTTTAGAGGAAAGTATTTTCTTTCCTATTTTTACCCAAAATAGGGTGTTGTGAGCATTACACATGTAATGTAATGACTGTTTAATTCATACTGGAAGCCGGAGGGCGCCCTTGTGCAGAAACTCCACATATGCATCACAGAAGTAATACTCCAGGAAGAAGTATCCAGTGATCGCTGTAGCGGAATAAAACGCAGACAGAGAAATTTTAACTGAGGAAACCTGAAGACAATAAACATGCGATTGCACAAAATATATGGTATCTGTGTTCTTCAAGCAATCTTGGGTATTTTTTATAAGGATAAAGTATATTTATAATGCAATGCTAATCGACATAGCCTTTATCACTGTATATAATGCTATAAAATCGTATGATTTCTGCCTTATTCTGTGATACGAAACCACGTCTGATCACAAAAATAAGTTATTTCAAACACTCAACTGTTATGAAGTTAATATGGAGAAAAATCATGTCAATAAATTAAAATATCTTTGTTGGACAACAGGTCTGTAAACGACTCGTACACATGTAAAACTGTTGCACACGTGCTGCTGTAGTACATTTACTCAAGGCTCAGACCGATTTTTGTCGCACTGTACAGCCCTATCCAAACCTGTTCCAGATTGTAGAAGGAGCTGCTCAATTTCACGTCCGCCTTCCTTCACGTCACTCCACACAGTCGCACACAGAAATATGTCAACAACTAGACTTTATCGTTATCATCGCGGGGAAGACGAATTCTTATCGTGTGGAGAATTTTTACCGGTATATCGCAAACGATAAGATATCGCCCATCCCTACTGTATATAGAAACAATATATGTTACATTTATTGCAAAATATACACACACAAATAATATTTAAATAGCACGAGGAGACTGAATCTATTATGTCATTAGCTTCATATACATTTTGGTGCAATTTACTTGTAGCGATTAAAAGACTGGATCAATAAGAGACTGGTGGAGATTTCTTTGCAGAATCACATTGTTTTTCACAGGAAATACCACTGTTAAACATAGTTATTTAAAAATGCAGACTAATGGCTTCAACAAACATATAGCATCAATTAACAACCTTGTAGCTCACAGCTGGTATGTTTTAAAGGTTTATAAATTATCATTGAAAATCACATCCACTATGAATGAAGAAAATGAATGGCATTTTTACTTCCTGCATAACACAAGAGAAAATGATATGAAAATGAAATTTACCAAAAAGGGTAAATTAACAATAACAAGCACGTGCATACAATGTGGAAAAGTCATGTTTTGTTTTTTAAAGGGGTCATATGATGCGATTTCAAGTTTTCCTTTCTCTTTGGAGTGTTACAAGCTGATTGTGAATAGATAAGATCCCTGAAGTTTCAAAGACTAAAGTCTCAAAACCAAAGAGATATTCTTTATCAAAGTTAAGACTCTGCCACGCCCCCCTAAAACGGCTCGTTCTAACACGCCCCCACATATCTACCTCACTATGTGGAAATATTTGCATAATGCCGCCCAAATGTGCACGCAGAGAAAGAAGGTGTGGTTTCAGTAACCAGAGTTAGTGTTGAAGCAGCATGTCAGGGAGATGCTGTGTTTCAGTGCGAAAGCAAAAGCACTTTATTTGGCCTTCCAAAAGTAGATGCATTTAGGAATCTTTAAGATGACTTACAACAGAACAGCAATGCATTTTATGGACGACCATTTCGTGAACCTAGGAGAGGAGGTCATTCTGACTTTGCTATGACAATCTGGCGCTTCTGAATCAGCTACTGTTTTGTTATTAGTTCAAGTATTTGCTATTGACTGTTCAAATGCGGAGTTTTGAGCATCGTGTGTGTGCACACGCACGAGCGCGAGAGAGAGAGAGAGAGAGAGAGAGAGAGAGAGGTGTGTGTGCATGCGTGCGTGCGAGAAAGAGAGAGAGAGCGAGAGAGAGAGATCACAGTGGAGTCAGCTGTCTTAACCGTGGCTTGTGTACTGCAAACACATACCAGCTTCATCACTGTGTCTGTCATGCGACTCTGTTCCCCTTTCTGGTTCTGTCTTTACATTTATTTTGAAAGCTGAAGCTTGCGATTATGGTAAGGGGCGTTACATTTCCGACGGGTGCTTGCGGTGTTCGGCCAATCACAATGCACTGGGTCAGCTGGCCAATCAGAGCAGACTGCGCTTGTCGGAAGGAGGGACTTTGTAGAAAACGAAGCGTTTGAGAGAGGACCTACAATAATGTACAGTATTTGAAAAATAATGTGTTTTTGAACATTAAAGCATGTCAACATATTCTGCTACACAAAATAATGATCTTTAAAAAAAAGCATCATATGACCCCTTTAATATATTTCAACAGAAGTGGGCTTTAGTTAAGGAATGGAAATGAATAAATGATAAAACAGTAAGACTAAATGTACTTTACATTTTCAACAAGAGGTCCGCAAAGGAACTGACATTTTTAATGTTAGTTATTGCGTGTAAACGGAAGACATTATGAAATGTTAGGGTTTTTAACATCACTAAAGTCAATGGTCGTGTCTTAAATTTGCGAGCTGCCTACCTATACGGCATCTTGGCAAACATATTCTTAAATCCTCACGAACTGCCAACAAAGAAAGCACGTTTAAAACATTAACGAAGTTCACTGGCACGGAACGCGCCTGTGCTGCAGTCTAGCTAGCCAGCCACACGGTTCTGAGACACGGCCAGCGTATTGTGTTGTTTCTCTATCGTGACGCTGCAGTTGAATAAGCTACATGGCTAACCAACGGAATAGTCAGATTATATTAAAACACCGTTGTACTTTAATCCATACACATTAGGAGCGATGTATATGGATCTTAAACTATTTAAGACAGACTCAAACATAAGCACCATCGACATTAAACGCGAGAAATGTCACTGATTTGACAAGCTAATGCTGTGCAAACACACCCACACGCATACTGAGACTCTAAACACAGCAACACGAGCGAATACTTCAATGAAAGTATACCTCTTCCGCGTTTTAACATTTCATAACACTCATTTTGGATACGAAAGACAGAAACGATCTAATACAAAGGCAGTTTTTTATAAATTTACCTGATCCGGCGGCGGCCGCCATCTTGTTGCTCAGCAGCGGGGACGCGCCAACAGTGAACAACCGCCTCATGAATTATGCATGTTAATAATCAGAGAACCTGGACACTGAAGTTCACTCCAGTGCCTTTATTACTCTTTATATACTCCTGAATCTGTGGTAAAGTTAGTTCATGTTCTTCAGTACATGTAGTAAATGTCATCATACATTAATTGCTGATGTGTGTGTAATTTTGCTTTTCATGTTCATATTATTTTTATTTTATTTAGGCTATTTATTATTTGGTAGAGTATTTGAAAGTCAAGAGTAAAAAAAAAAAAGAAGAAAAGTGCCGCGTAAGAGAAGAGGTTGTATGAAAAGAATTATTCAATTTAATAAGATTTTACTTTTTTTTCTTTTTTTTTTTTTTTAAAGCAGGAGGCTATAGTGTAGAATAAATACATAAATAGAACAAAGCAACGTTATAGGAAAGAAAATCGAAAAAGAAACAGAATAGAAAAAGAACAGGGAATACTAGTTTTAGCGGGTCATTTTTGTAATAAAGAAAAAAAGGAGATAGAGATAGAATCGAGAGTATTAGTTCTAGAGGGTCAAGTTTTTTAATAAGTAAAAAGAAAACAAGTAGAATAGAATAGAAATAGAATATAGAGTGCTATTATTAGAGTGTCAAGTGTAGATGGAAGAGATGTGTCTTAGCTGTTTCTTGAAGATGGCTAAAGACTCAGAGTCAGTTTTTGATTATTTTGAAATCTGCATTACTGGTCTAAAATTGCGAATATATTTGATCATTATATGACTGTAGGCCTAGTCGTTGTTGTTTTGTTTGATGTTAATGCATGCAAATATGTCAGCTTAGCAAAAGCACATACAAAAAGTGCAGTAAAAAGTAAATGGGTCAATCACGAGGGTCAAAGTCCTGCGTTTAACTCCAACCTGTGCCAACACATCTGCCTGAAAGTTTTTTGAAGACCTGCTTGACTGGTTTAGGTGTGTTTAATTAGGGTTGGAGCTGACTGCAGGACAGTGGCCCTAACATTCAGGATTGAACATTCCTGGTTTATTTTATTTGATTATTTATTTATGTTTTTTGGGGATGATTTGACGGATTTCTTTCTTTCGTTTTCCTTCTGGAGAGTCTCTATGCCATTTTTTTGTGAAAATCAAAAAAACAGCCAAGAGTTGAGGCGGAAATGGGAAAACTTTGAATCAGCAAACTAAATTCACATGTTATCACCACCTGGTGTCAGTAAAATCTCTCTGCTCTTGCTTGGTCTCAGTGCTTTTTGGTCAAGAAGATTCTTTTAGGGCAGAAGACGCAGAAGAAGAATACAATCTGATCAAATAAAGTGAAAGGAATTCTTTTAGATTATAAAGAACTTTTGAAGATGTTTGTGCTCCATGGCTCTTCTGCTCTTGCTCAAGATGGTTGAGTTGCATGCTCAAACCATGGAGGGCATAACTAAGTGTGTTCATTCAAGTTCATTATTGAGTGTTTTCACTAATTAGCATATGGAATGCAAATTAATATCAGTAAAGCAGAGGTTAACGAGTCAGAGGAGCACTTAATTCTGAGTTGTGGGATGCATGGGACAGAGAGAGAAATGCATGAACGAAAATTAAATGATACCCTCATTATTATACAATATACTGCCCTGTTAATCATATTGTTAATCAACAGCTTGGTACATTTCCTTGTTGCTCTTGGTCTTTGTGGAGACCTGTTAAATGTTTTTTTATTTTTTTGAACAAACAAAAATAAACTCAACTATTTTCTGCAGTTCTCTGTGATCCTTGGAGAGTCTTTGGCCATTCAAACGATCCTCCTCGACTTGCTTTAAAGGTCCCATGGCATAACAATTTCACATTATGAGGTTTTTTAACATTAATATGAGTTCCCCTAGCCTCCCCCAGTGGCTAGAAATGGCGATAGGTGTAAACCGAGCCCTGGGTATCCTGCTTCGCCTTTGAGAAAATGAAAGCTCAGACGGCCCAATCTGGAATCTTCCCTTTATGTCGTCATACGGGGAAAGGTTCCCCCCCCTTTCTCTGCTTTGCCCGCCCAGAGAATTTGGCCCGCCCATGAGAAAATGAGATACTACCATGCGAGGCGAGCGCAATATTTTTTTTCCTCAAGAGACATCATGCGAAGCATGGCAGTTGCCCCGCCTCTCTCCTCCTCATTAGCATTTAAAGCTACAGACACAGAAATGGCACATCCTAAGGAAAGCTCATTGCGGGACTGGCTCGTAGAGGCTAAAATTTTCCACCAAGGCTGAATTTCGGGAAAGAGACTTCAGATACAGTACTAGGGATCACTTAGGCCTATATAAAAGCATCCAAAAAGCAGCATGTCATGGGACCTTTAAGACAGAATAGACCCACATCCTCTTCCAGGCAGATTTGTAACATTTTCTGTTGATTGGAAATGTTTGCCCTGATGGTGGAAATGGGAATTTTTAATGCTTTAGCTCTTTTCTTATAGCCATTTTCTAATTTATGATGTTCAACAATCTTTTGCAGCACATCAGAAATATATTGGTTGATTTTACTCAATGATTAAGGGAATTTGGCCTTTGTGTTCCCTCATAGTCTATGGAGGACGAAACCTGCAAAAACAATAAATAAATAAATACACAAATTCTTGTTTAAATACATATAGAAATAATGAAACATCATTTGACCTCATGATTCTCATTTGCTCTGACATGCACTGTGAGCTGTAAGGTCTTATATAGACAGGTGTGTGGCTTTCCTAATCAAGTCCAATCAGTATAATCAAACACAGCTGGACTCAAATGAAAGTGTAGAACCATCTCAAGGATGATCAGAAGAAATGGACAGCACCTGAGTTAAATATATGAGTGTCACAGCAAAGGATCTGAATACTTAGGACCATGTGGAAATAAAGAAATTCGTAAATAAATACATAAATGTGAAAATAAAGAAAAGTGGAAATAAATGTATACGTAAAAGAAAAATAAATAAATAAATATGGGAAAATTAAAAAAAAAATACATAAGGAAATAAAATTATAAATAATCATTTTTGCTTTTTTAACTTTTCTTTGTATATTTATTTATATAGTTATTTATTTATTTATATTAGCTTTTTTACATTTCTTTCTTTCTTTATTTCTAATTATGTCAGGGATGGCATTCCATACTGTTTCACAGGACTAGTATGGAGGACGAAACCTGCAAAAACAATAAATAAATAAATAAATACACAAATAAATAAATAAATGTGTGCATAAATACACGTATTCTTGTTTAAATACATAAATAAATAATTATACATGTGATGAAAGTAGGCAAATAAATAAAATAAATTGGTGGACAAATGGAAAATGTTTAAGGAAATGCTAAACTCATCCTATTTATCTTCCTTTGAGCGCTCGTTTATTTCTGAATGTAGTTCCACATTTATTTTTCCTCTGCACAACATGCTAATGAGAGGGTGTCAACCATGGACTTGGTCAGGTCTTGTGATAGCTGGGGGCGTGGCTTTCCCGCTGACAGGAGATGCATGGTGTTAATCCAGTATGGGCTACGTAAAGTCACTTTTTCCGTTCAACAGAGCATGATGCATAAAAAACTGAGCTGTATTGTCTGTACAGTATCTGTGACTTTACAAACGACCCAACAAAATGGCCAGTGTCGTTTCCTGACGTCATTTTTTGTAACCCGATTGAGTGTCCAGCTAGAGACAACTGTAATATCAGTATCCCATGGTCAACGTGAGGTGACTGGTATGAAGTGGTTTAATCGAGGAACAGACAGTTTTTTCCCATTAGTTATCAGAACAGAAAATACAGGTGACAAAAGTATGTTTATTAAGCAAATAACGGTTCTGTATTGCAATTAAGAGCTATGTAAGCGTTCATATTTTACATTGGCCACTTAAAGCTCTCTCATGATTATAACTACAAACTAGCCCTATGAAAAAGTGTAAGATAATAATCAGTCCCCTTGACTGATGAAGTTAATACGCACACTGTAAAAAGTAATCACTGAATCTACTTAAGAAAAGCGAGTAAACATAACTGATTTTTACAAATTTGTTGAATTTACTTAATTACACTGTGTAATGTGAACTTTCAGGTGGATGCAATAGTTAAACTAAACAACTTTAGTAAACAGTACTTAAGAGCATCTAGTTTGTTGGATTAAATCCCACTATGTGCCCTAATAACTTTAGACCAGTAGGTGGAGGAAGGTTAGTTTAAACAAAACATCACCAGAAGAAGACAACGAAGAAAGGGTAACAAAATTTAAATATATAGGTCTGTGGTTTGATTCTAAATTAATGTGGAAAATCCATATTGAACAGTGAGTTAGGTATGGCTCTAGTCCTCAGCTCAGGGATCACGCTCAATAGGCCGACTGACTTCTCTTCATCATAGTCCTAGAAACAAGAATACA